ATATCTAGTATTAACTTACCTTCAGGGAGATACAGCAAAAGCGCAGCATTCCATGTGAGTCCTCGTCTGGCTTTTGGATCGCCAACAATAAATTCTCGAGGAAAATGTCTTGTTCACACTCTATAATAATTATTATAAGCACTCGACACTGAGGCTATTTAGTAAAGGATTGCGAACTTTTATTAGCCATTGTTTCATTTTTTCGGCATCTTTTGGAAACCGGAAATAGCTGCTGTATTTGTCGCCGCACCCCGGAACACAGCATTTCTGATGCTTTTCAATTAACAAACTGGGAGAAGACATTATGAGATAATAATTATTGATAAAGGTAATTGATAATTCTAAATGTTGGGAGAAGTTCAAAATTTAAATTTTGACGACTGGAAATGACAAAATAAACTTCAAATCTTGGCGCACGGTCCGGCAGGAAAAAGAAAACTTTAATAGGTTGATTGAAGCGCCTCTAGTGATTGGAGGGGAAAGCTGAAACGACTAGACTGACGTCTCTCATAAGACTTACATTTCTAAGGGGGGATGTTTTGTGCTCATGACAATTTGCGAAGTGACACTTTTTTCCCAGGTATTTATTATTCATAACCGACTGGTATGACATAAAAGTTTGTATGCACCACGGGTACTAATAGATATATATACCCTCGGGCGACTTACGAACCCTCGGGCCAGAGGCCCTCGGCTTTATGAGACTGTCGCCCTCAGGCAGGGACGTAGCGAAGGCCTCTGGTTTGGGGGGGTGATATTCCTAATTTTCCCAACTTTATTAAAACATAAAAAAAAATCACATGTAGCGAATGAGTCGGAGTATAAAAAGGCTACATAAAAGATAAACGCGCATCTGTATTGACGTTACAAGGGTATCGGCGCTTGACAAGAGTAACCGCGCAAATACAATGACAGTTTTCACTTTGCAGGCAGACCCGTGTAGATGAAATGGCAACTGCTGCTTTTCAGTTTTCAGTTTTGTTCGCAAAACTTGTCGAATCCGCACGGGCTCAATTAATTTTCGAAACATTCAGAACACGCACTTTGACTCTACGAGAAAAATTGCCACTGCGGCAAATACACTGCGTTCCGCAGAACCAAAACTACGTCACGTCACGCTGCGAAGTAATACGCGCATTACCTATTCTTACTTGGGTTCACAAAAACTCGCCGTGAGTCACGCTCTCTCACTTGGTTTGTGTCAATCGTTCGTCGGCTGTCATTATCATTCGATGGCTTTCTCCGCCTCTCTACGTTATATCTTTCTTCTCTCTCGTCTGTCGTGTGCCGAAATTTGCCAAAACGTGTTATTCCATTCTCGTCCAAATCAGACCGCCGCCTATGAAGTTTCACTTCAAAAAAATCATGTGTAGCATCGTACACGTGTTAAGAAGTGAAACTTTTTAAAAACTATTTCTTTAACTCAAGAGCACCAGGATTCAGAGTTATGCTGAAATCTGAATTGCGAGCGAAAATGCGCAGAACGCAGAAGGCAACATAATTATATAATATAAGAAGTTTGGATTACCTTATGCCCGAGGCTTAAAGGTAACTATTCCTTAAAGTGACATTTTCCCCTCAGGGCATAATCATCTACTTAGTACCCTTGATACATAATAGTTATTTATGTATCAAGGGTACTAAGTAGATGATTATGCCCTGAGGGCGACAGTCTTTACAAAGCCGAGGGCCTCTGGCCCGAGGGTTCGTAAGTCGCCCGAGGGTATATATATCTATTAGTACCCGTGGTGCATACAAACTTTTATGTCATACCAGTTGGTTGTGAATAATAAATACCTGGGAAAAAAGTGTCACTTTGCAAATTGTCATCAGTATCAGTGTGCAAACATCATTATTTTTTGACAAAAATAATATGCTGAATAATATGTTTATAAGCGTAAACTTATATTTTTTTAATAAATAATAAGTTAATTGAAAACTGTTTTTTGCGTCTTTATGCCCGCGCGGGCCATAATGTGTACTTTATGCCCGCACGGGCATAAAGTAATGAATTACGTAGATGGTATCTAAGGTATAAAAACACAATAATGTATTGGTATGACATAAATTACTATTATGTACCTAACTAGTTTTAAGCCTTTTTAGTGCTGTGTTTATAGATTTAAGTTTGGCAATAAGATTGCGTATATCTTCGATAATAAAGCAAATTTTGATTTGATTTGATCTGCATAGCCTATGACCTGGTATCCAGCACTACTTAGTCTGGTAAGGATTTTGTCCACCACTGGTGTCCATAGTAGTGGAGAAAGAACACCCCCTTGAGGACACCCTCTGACCGTGGTAGTGTGGTAGCGGTAGCTGATGCTCCTTTTATTTCAGTTGTAACGTACCGGTGTTTTAGCACTCGGTAACTCGCCGGCCCAACCGGGCCGGTCGCGATTTTACGTTTCCGTGTTCAATTCAGACCGACGCGGTCTTGAAATAAACAGGGAAAAGTATTGGCAAACCCGTGTTGATTTCGAGGCGCCAGACAATGAACCACGCACGGATTTGTTTGGAAAAAAGCCGTTTTTGTTCTCATCCATTGTAACAATTTGCCGACTGTAACAACAGTTGATTAAAATTCTTTTATTTACGTTTTGTTTGAGGTTTTCGCAGTTTTTAATTTGCCGGCTAAGTCTTGGAACATTTTAAAAGTTTCCTTCTTGAACACACTAAAGACTGAAATTTTAAAGTTTAAACTGAACTATTGCAAGGTGCAATGTGCGTTATTTTACATCGGAACTTTTGGAATTTTGAATTGTTTCTATTGTTTATATTAGTATTTACCAAAAGAAACAACAAGAAATTAATTAATCGGGTGCGGAATTTATGCCCAAATGACGTCTAGATCTTAAAATAAATATTTATTTCGTTTATTAATAGAGGTAGAAAAAATAGTGTATGCCACTCTCATGTAATGGCCATTAATACACTCGCATGTTCTACAGTGTCATTACTTAAGTGTGCAACATATGGGATTTTTTTTTAGTAATAGCACAATCAAAATACAAACAAGGCCAAAAGTTGGTGCATGTCTAATAATCATATTAGATGCACTTAGAATGGTTGCAAGTCAAACAGCATACAGGGTAGCTCAAAAAATATCAAAATTGTAGTAATATTTACTTGAATAAAATAAAACTTTTGCACTTTAAGGAGAGTTTTTTTAATATGGCTATTATCATTAGTAATGTTTTAACTTGTTAAAAAAAAAGATTGCGACATTTTAAAGTTGTGTTGAATATCATTGCAACAAACATGAATTTTGTGATTCCATAAAAAATTAAAAATCTAAGTTAATTTTACAAACATGCTTGAATTTGAACAAAGTTATGTAAAATTGATTTGATTTTAATTAATTTTTGAAAGTATTAAGGGCGGAAATAAAAAATAAAAAAAATATAGAAATTATAGATTTTTTTCGAAAAAAAATAAAAAAAATCTTAGGAGGCTATGTTTTGGTACTTAGGCATAACTTTTAATTCCAAACAACTTTTCTCTATAACATTTCGCTGAATTTTCTAAAATAAGGGTACTTTACAGTACAGCTTTGATATTGTTTGAGCTACCCTGTATGCTGTTTGACTTGCAACCATTCTAAGTGCACCTAATATGATTATCAGACATGCACCAACTTTTGGCCTTGTTTGTATTTGGGTTGTGCTATCACTAAAAAAAATTCCCATATGTTGCACACTTAAAAAATCACACTGTATACGTAACTCACCTGCTGCTCGTTTCATATCCTACAACATTCTCGTGTATTGATGGCTATCAATACATGATATGAGTTTTATATTGTTAATTGTTATAATATATATTTAAAACAATTTTGTTCCACTGCTTTGAAGATAAGTTATGCGATCCTTTTTGCGAAGATTACTTTCATAAAAAAAATTAGGCCATTTACGAATGTGTTGTCCTTTTTGTGTAACGTCTCCGTGTTCAGTACCAAGATTCTCATTGAAATGAAAACGGAAACGTGAACATGTACCGCCAGTCATTTTTAAACAAATCCGTGCGTGGTTCATTGTCTGGCGCCTCGAAATCAACACGGGTTTGCCAGTGAATATTGCAATACTTTCCCGTGTTTATTTCAAGACCGCGTCCGTGTGAATTGAACACGAAAACGTAAAATCGCGGCCTGGTCACACCGGCTAAACGCCGAAATCGCAGCCTTCTGTTCGTTCAGTTCTCAGTGTTGGTTTGGAAAATTCTTACACGTATTAAAACTGTGCTTCCGAAGCCGGTGTGACGTCATGGCCCCGACGTTCGTAACTTCAAACCGCCCTAACTCAAAAACAGTTGACACCCCCTTTAAGGAAGCCCGATGGGGTGATCTGTCTTCAGAGTTCTCAGTTCATAGTTCTGATGTCATAACTCGGAATTTCTGATTAACTGTGTCACAACTCAGACATATATATATACTTGAGTTATAACTTTTATAATTTTTTGTCTGTGAATCTATGAGAACTGAATTAGGGACAGAAAATATGTATCTTGGTCTATCACAAACCTATTTTCAGTATTTTCACGCCAAAAAAGCTTTATACAAGTCAAAAGCACATCTAATCAAAGAGTTGAATGTTGGTGGTCGCAAATGAGAGGGCTTGATGGATTAATTATTTTAAAAAACTGAGACACAGAAGACTAGGTCCTACAAAATGATGATTATCTGCTTTATGTTGAATGATTAATGTTTTGCTGTGGAGCTCTCCAGGAACGTGAACTACAAACTATTTTAGAAGAATGGAACCATTACAAGATTCGTAAACAAAGAATAACTGAACTACCCGCTAGAAAACCTGAAGTTCTATATTTTCTTAATTAAGGTAAATCTTAATCTCACAATTCTAATGGCGTTTCCGATTGGTAGATTTAGTGCGGAACTAGTGCAATTTTTTCTATTTCTGTCTTTTTCTTCTACAGGTCGATTAAAAGGATGCAAATACACTCAGTGCGCACTGAATCTACCAATCGGAAACGCCATAAGTTAGGGTCATTTAAAATAAAACAAAACAAATTTTTGGTAGGCATGTTTTTTATGTCATTCACTTTTATAAACACAATTTAAAAATATTTTGTAAAGAAAAGAAAATTTAATGTTGTCCCTGATCTACAAAAAAAGTTCGTAGTTTTTTTTTTTTTTTAATGTATAGGTAAATTAAATAACCAACCAGCCCGCGATAATATTGTATTTTTTTAAATTTAACTATTAGAAAGTACTTGATAGTTGTATAAATTAAAAACAACTTATTTTCAGAGGTGTTTTGTAATTAATACAATTTTGGTACTTCCTTTAAAAATTATTATTCTTATTATTATTTAGTCCTCACAGAAAAATATTGTATATGCTTCATTAAATAAAAATATACACAATATTTTCAAGCAACCAAAAAAGGTGTCTTTTGACTAGTTACAGAGTTGGTTTCATTTTTCCAGCAATTTTTTTTACAAATATTGAAATCCTATAGTCTTCTGTGCATTTGTATATTTTTTTATACAGATAATCAAGTAATATACAACTTAACAATAAAATAACAAATTATTTAACACAAAATAAAATTGTACAATTTAAATATTTTTAACCCTGAGGAGCTCAGCAGGCACAGTACAATAATTAAATTATTCATTTACAATAATTCCAAAAAAAAAGCACAATTACTTAAAAACGAAAACATCTATCCAACAAAAAATAAAAAGGATAGTATATTAAATATAAAATATAATTCAAAATAAATACTAAAATAGTTTGGTAAAAAGTATTTTGCTGGAACCACTGAGCCCAGATAAAAAGACGAGTTAAAAAAATTCAATACCATTTTTCATTTTTTACATTTTTAAAAAAGTACGTATATACACTCTTTTTTACTCTGGTTACTCAATTAGTTATTGAATACACTAATTTTTTAAGTTGGGTTTTTTGCAGTTTTTCTGTTTTTTTGTTTTAATTTAATTTTCAAATAATGTTCACTTTATCACTAAAATTTTTTTAGTCCCTTTTTGCTATTTCACTAACACTTGAATTAACCGCTAGGCATCTTCTGAATTGGAGGAATAGTCTTCTTCTTCTTCGGTCTCTTTTAGTTGAGTGAAGAATGACGTTAATTGTTTTAAGGCAACACCTTAAAGAAAAAAAATAATCAAATTACTAAACAAATTCTGACTTTCTAAAAGCCAATGACGCTAAGAGTCTATTTTTTTTCAATGTACAATCTCAGATTGAGGATGAAAGTTTGAGTTAAATCATTTATCCGCACCCAGAAATTGAAATTTGCTTTTCTTCCATTTGACAACCAGAATGAATTTTAAGCATCAAACTGGTGCTTTTAAGGAAGGTAATACATAATTACAAAACAGAGATTTTCTACAGCCCCTTTTTCACAGTTCGGTAAAGCTATCCTTATTCTGTGCTTTATATTGACTGTCTTATAATTTTAATAGGTACAAGATAAGGATCGCATCGCAATTAAAACAAACAAACAAGATCGATTGCTATCAATGGGATCAACCATATAACCAGGGATTTCAACAACCTTCACGATTGATCAAAAATTTGACAGTAATGACCTTATTTGGCTCATAATACTCTCAATAACTATAACCGCAGCAAAAGTAGGTTTTGTATTTTCATTTTCTAAACCAAATGTTTCAAAGGTGTGAATCAACAGTATGAGCAGTGAGCAGTGATAGTATTGAATATTATGGTGTGGAAGGAAATGTAATTCAGTGGCTAAGATCATATCTCTCGTCAAGAAAACAAACAGTGATTTTAACTAAAGAGAATGTTACCTTTACACTATTAATGATCTGTGCACCCGGTGCAATATCTAGAGGAAAATATAGTACAATTTTGCAGACGACACCGATTAAATAACTGAGGCACAAACTCAGCAAGCAGGTTGCATGTTTCAAGCGACCAGACAAGTTCATCCTAAATGATCAAAAAAAAAAAGAAAAATATAAAATTATACATTTTCATTTTCATGATTTCGAGTAGGTTATGTCCAAAAAATTGCGCAATATTTGTATAGAAAAAAATTGAAAATTCCTAACATTTTCAGAAAAACTAAATTAATTTTTTTTGCCATAAGGAGGAACGAAAAACCACTAAGAATTCTTTTTTTAGATATCACAAATCATCATTTCTGGAGAAATATCCAAAATTTGGAAAAAAATATCATCACAAAAAAAAAAATCTTCCAATTCATAAAATGCAATTTAAAGAATCGAGTCAAACAAAGAAAACTTTTTCAAACCAATCTTGAAAGATCTAATAAAAGTAGTGCTTCTTGAGAAAATAATTTTTTTTTTCTTCCGAACCAATATGGCTTAAGAAACAATTAATCAGCAACATTTATGATCAACAATCTTCTTCAGACCAAGGCTGGGGGTCTGAAGGGTGGCCTTGATACTCATGCTACAGGCTATATTCTATGACCTATAGTGTAATATGTGATGGTTTTGCTTTTGCTCAACAAGGTCAGCTATGGACTTCATTGATATGCTGACGACACCATTTTGGTTTCTCCACAGAATGCAGTTTTTCATCTGAATACAATTTTGGTATAAGTACGTGTGGCGTATGAGTGCTCATATTGTGGTTGCAATCTATTTATGATATAGATAATTTTATTTGAGTGTTCATCTTTTTCCAATGAAAAAAAAGGTGAAAATATTATGGACAATACATTAGGGCACTTAAGTATTATAATAAGAATGTGATTCATAGATTTTTTTTCTTATTAATTTTATGCATGTTTAGTAGGCATAAAATAAATCTAGGCAAATGACCAATATACGAAACCATTTGTTGTGTGTCATGGCAAATGGGTCAAATTTTTCTGTATCATTCAATTCTACTATTTAAAACTATCTTTGAACTAAAACCACTTTCCACCTTCAACTTAGCCACTGCCTCCTATACTTAACAAGCCATGAAGTTGGAAATGACGGCAACGTCGCGTATGGTGCTATTTTGTTTTTGGGTTATGTGTTTCTGTGTATTGCTTTCATTGTGTATTGTTGCAGTTTAGTATTTTTGTGGGCATTATTGACGAAAAAGTGGATAGAAACACACCAATATATTGCCCATATTTAGTTGATACCTGTTCCTTTGTGCTTTGATTGCAATTTTTTAGCAAATGGGTACAGGAGCAAAAATGAAGGTAAGGTGAGATAAAACAATAAAAACAATATTAATATTTGTCTGCAAGAGCATATGTCTCGATATATTACCTAAGATATTTAAACTTGTTCCAGATGCCATGAAACTACTGTGTTCCTGGGTGCAAATCGAACTATTAGGAGTTCCTTAAAAACTGAAGAAATGCAAACATTTTCATTTCCAAAAAAATTCTGAATTGCAAAAAATGTGGATGAAAGCAATACACCAAGATAATTATACCCGAGATTATACAATAACGAAAAATTCTGTGGTGTGTTGTAAACATTTTGAAGAAACCGAAATAATTAGATTTGAAACAAACAAGGATAAAGGCGTAGTTCGAGAGTTCAAACTGAAACGTCCAACTCTTAAAAGTAGGTACCTCTTATTTTCGAAAATCAGCTCAAGTATTTGAATGGACCTGCCTTCCGAAAAAATCCCGAAGAAAGAAAAAGTTAGATTTTTCAAAAGACATACTGAAACATAGGCCTATAACAGTTTAGACTCTAGAAATATATTCATTTAAATCAATTATTTACTGTTCTTATTTACACAAATAGTTATATTATTCATTGAATTACTGTTTTTGGCCCTTTAGTACAATAAATTATGCATTTTTCGTGATTCATATTATTAAAATAAAAAATATATATTTATAAAAACAAACACCACCAGCACCACTTGGCGGTAAGATTGAGGTGTTGCCTTTTTAACTTCATGGCTTGTTAAATGTAGGAGGCTGTGACTTAGCCCAAGGGTTTTCAATGTTCAATATTCAAGTTTTATGCGAATACATTTTTAATTATAACTTTTCCAACCTCGGCTCTGTAGATTAATTTTCACTGTAATTTATTAATTCATAGAACGATTGTATAACAGGATAATACCAATAACTAGTTATTTTTACTACCCTACAATGTCTTTATTGTGAAATTTATTGAATTCAATTTACCTTTTCCCTCTTGTTCAGAAGGATCCGTACTGTTTTCCCAGGCGATAAAACTCTCTTGAGAGAAAATCGAGTCTTCATAAAGTTTATCACAGATTGACAGTAAGAGTCCTAAATAGAAAAACATAAGAATTAATATGGTTCACAAATGCAAATCATATAAATTATCACCTTGCGGATGTTCCAACTTTTGAATTAAAGCCTGTAAAGCATATAAACATTGCAACTCTAAATCCCATTGTGTATCTACATATTTCTGAATCAGCTTATTATGACTCGAGAGTACTTCGTTTTGAAGTTTGCTTTTTGAAATCGAGTCCTCAAATATTGCTGTTGCTAGTGCTCTAATGAATTTTGGTTGTTTTGTAGACTCTCCTACATTAGCCTAGAAGAAAAAAAATATGAAATAAATAATTACATGTGTAGGATGTACAGGGTGCTGCAATTTGGAGTGTTTTAACAGGAAAAACACACTTTCCGACCAGATAGAGGAAAATTGACTTAGATGTCATGGGATCGATTTTCGAGAAACGTCGATTGTCAAAAACCGTATCGCGATATCTTCAATGGTACCATTAATACAGGGCAATTTTCGATTTTCCCCTATTATGAAAAATGGCTACAGGTTTTTTATTTATTAATTTTTTTTATTTCTGTAAAAACATTATGGAGACACTTTTTTGAGCACAATCCAGTGGCGGACTCGGTTTTTTTCTATATCGCTCCGATTCCGAGATATTGACCAAATTCCGATATTTTCAAATGAAGCACCCTATATATTAATAGCTTATTGGATAGCTCTGTTTTTGCTGATTTCAATGATATAAAGTTCGATAGGTTTATTTCTAACAGTTTTCGAGAAAAAAATATATCTGTTTATGTCATAAGAAACAATGTGTTAGACAGAGACCTTCCTCATTCTCCTTACACATATAAAATCCTTTTCTAACACATTGGTCCTTACGACAAAAACAAATATAATTTTTTTTCTCGAAAATTGTTAAGAGATAAACCTATCGAACTTTATATCATTGAAATCAGCAAAAACAGAGCTATCCAATGAGCTATTAATATATAGGGTGTTTCATTTGAAAATATCGGAATTTGGTCGATATCTCAAAATCGGAGCGATATAGAAAAAAACTGAATCCGCCACTGGATTGTGCTCAAAAAAGTGTCTCCATAATGTTTTTACAGAAATAAAAAAAATTGATAAATAAAAAACTTATAGCCATTTTTCATAATAGGGGAAAATCGAAAATCGCCCTGTATCAATGGTACCATTGAAGATATCGTGATACGGTTTTTGACAATTGACGTTTCTCAAAAATCGATCCCATGACGTCTAAGTCAATTTTCCTCTATTTGGTCTGCAAGTATGTTTTTCCTGTTGAAACACTCCAAATTGCAGCACCCTGTACAGATATTTCTACAAGTATGACACTATTACATATTACGCCTATTATAATCTTTGCTGATTTTTAACAATTTATAATATATTACACTAGTTCAGCTGAGCCAAATCAAAGATAAGTATAAAACAGTCATATGTACGTAGAAAGCAAAAGGTTTCTAGAAAATGTAAATGCTTAGTTTACTAACAATCGGTTAAGCATTAATACAAGTAATGAGACTAATGTTGTGTTGTCCGGGAAGAAACAGTGTAGGGCAGTTTTTGTGAGAAAATGGGCTTCAATGAATCATGTGGCAAGACAAAAGTTACCAAGTTTCTCCCAATAACATTCTTACACTTGCAAAACTAGTGGACAACTGACCAGTGTTGCCAGGTTGGTTTCATAAAGAGTAACAGGTGCGTCTTTGAAATGGTACTAGATTTTAAAAAATGGTAATAGATTTTATGCACTTTAGGGATTAAAAGGGTACTTTTAATCCCTGTTTTAAGGGAATAAAGAGGGTCTTTTAATTCCCGGGAATAAATTTCACTTTTTTTCCCGGGGATTAAATTTTTACTTTATTTCCCGGGGATTAAATGTACCCTTTTATTCCCTGTTTTATTTCATCTCTGGGAAATAAAGTAAAGTGCATAAAATAGTGTATACACCTCAGGACTAAAGTGTTTTTTAATCCCTCGACAAATTATATATATAAACTTTTTGTCTTGGTATTAAAAGTATAACTTCAGTCCCTAGGTGTATAATGTACTATTTTTTACTGCTGGCGACATATATGGGACTTCAAGTACCTAACTTTTTTTTTTGATCATGAATAAATAATATTTGAGATTAATTTTTAATAGTGTTATTCTTCTATAAAAAAAAAAACCCGTGATTGGTAAAAAAAAGTATTGAGCATAGCTTGAAATGACATTTTTACATGTGAAAATGTCATTTTAAGCTATAGTTATCGTTAAACTTCCCTAATATGAGCCGCTTTCCAGTATGCACATTGGGCGCCACGCACTAGATTTGTACCGTTCCAGTATCATGACGTGAGACGCCTGTCTTAGTGTCAAATATGTCAAATTTTAAAAATATTTATCTGTTTGTTTGTGCAGTTTGTTTTTTTATTTATCATAAATGAAAGAGAATCAAAACTATACATTTTAAAATGTTCAATCTTGAGATATAACAAGAAATAAATAAATAAATAGCCACCCACGGATTTGACAGCTGACAGGTTGACGCGTACGTACAGCTCGGGAGCTCAACGCCCCAAGTAGCTCCGGGCGTCACACTCCCATACTGGAAAGCGGCTATGGTCGGTGCAAACGGCCATAAACTAGAGATATATTTGGATAATGGATAATGATTTGGCGAGTGATTTGGACAGGCCCTACGATTCTCATCTTAAAACTATAAAAATGAACTTAGAACTTCTTTTAGGATATAAAAAATCGATATCTTTAATGATACGAGCAGAAACTGCATAACAAAACATATAATAAAAAGGTAATTGAATTTTTAAAAAGGTAATAAACTCCTCTAAAAAGTAACATCTGTTACAATTGACTGGCAACACTGGTTGCGACTCTGGTCTTGCGAGAAATCTTGCAGTATTTGAAACACACTATATATGAATTGAAATTATTTCTCACCGATATCCAATTAACAATATCGTCAAATGAAGCCTTATTTTTGAAAAATTCAGCAAGCCTATCCTGAATGGCGTCGAATGATACTGAATTCTCAGTTACTGGTGATTCGCCACTTAAGAGAAAATCAAATTTCTGAAAAATAAAAATTAAACATTTATAATTTATTTGAGGGCAATAAAAATTCCTTACATTTTCTTGAACAAATGGCACAACATCTTCACTAGGCATAAAACTGGATAGTTCCATACCCGAAGCCTGCCAGCTGGCCTGCAAAAATTTAGAACCTTTTTCTTTGATAACCAAATCGAAAAGAGATTTCAGCAATTTTTTGGCTACATTCACTTGGATGAGGCTATCTAACAGTTTTTGCAGTCTAGGGAACGGCATAACTTCTTCTAGAAGAAGCGCAACTAAGTCTTCGGCAAAGTACTGCCAAATTTGTGGAATATCTATGACTAAGTCCTCCCAAACCCCAAGAAGTTCCTCGAATCCTTTAGCAAAAACATCAACTGATATACTTCCTGCTTTGATTAATTTGGCAAACAGTTCGCCAGTTTTTAAACGGGTTGATTGAGATTTTTCCAAGATATAATTATAACTGAAAAAAAAATAAAAATTATTAGGAATTTTATTTTTATGTGCACAAAATAGCAGTGGTTATCACAACATGTATATCTAAAAACCTTTTTTGTATACAGAAAATACTGAGAAATATTATGATGGCACTAAAAAAATATCAACTTTGTGCAGATTGGGAATCCTGCAATAGAAAATCTAAATTCCCAGATAAATGTAGAATTGCTAAAAAAAGTTACCTTTCATAAACCACTCTCGAATGGTCTTCTATCGCAGAAGCAACATCTTGGAAGTATTCTTCAGTTGTACAACAGCCAGTGATAAATTCGTCCAGCGAATTACGTATCCGTCTTTCAATTTGTTCCTCGCTAAGCTTGGACACTGATGGAGGCGCTGGAGTAGCAGTAGGTACATCCGGCTGAACCATCGTGTCAGGCCGTTGCTGATAACGCTGCTGCGATTTGGGTTGTGATTGTGGAGGAGCCATGGTGGAAGGCATCATAGAGGATGGAGGAGGCCCGGTGCTCCGCATTGGAGTATTGGAGTCTCTGTGTTGCGATCCAGATCTGGATCCTCCTCGTCCGTCGTAACTCTTATTATATAGGTTACGTTCTATACTTGGACCTTTAGAGCTGTACGGATCATTATTACCTCGAGAATCTGGAATTATTGACAAAAAAAAACATTATTTGTGAATAGTTGTGAAATAGAATACAAAAAAAATCCTAAAGCTATTAACCAATATTAAAATACTCAGAGTAAAAACTAATAAGGTCAGATAGTCAGATATGCTACTTACTCATAGGACGGCGTTCCATGTCCACATTTTCCAAAGCAGTGTACATATTGTTGCTAGTATTCAATGAAGACTGTGGGTTCTTGGAACCACCTGCTCCTTTGGCCCAGTTCGAGAACTGCTTACTAGGTCCAAAAAGTTCGTCCACTCCCTGTAAAAAGAAGCCTTAGTTTATTTGCCTAGCTAGATGCAATTCCAGCATTTTAACAATGTAAGTCTGCTTGTATCATAAAAATGTGGGGAGGTTACTATCAAACCCCATTCCTTGGCCTCATAGCCTCATAGTGTTAGCGAATCCACCCCGACTTCACTATAGCATAGAATTAACACACACCAGCCTCTAATTTAGCTGATTTGTTGACTTATTCATGCATTTCAATTCAATTAAATTCAATATATGTATTTAACTATTAGCTATAAGTAGTACAAAAGAAATTACAGCTTCTTCAATGAAAAAGTTTTTTCAAAAAAAAAAAAAAAAAAGATAAAAATGCACCCAGATCAGTATATGCATCTGTGTATGTCACAAAGTATAAGTTATTTAATATACTAATAAAATCTATACTTTCTAACCAAATAAATTTTATGTATTACTCTTTAAGTAATTTGAATTAAATGTCTCACCCCTTTCCAACCTAAATTTTTAGAACAGAACAAATAAAATCAAACATTTGCAAATTCCTACTTACAGGTTTAGGTACTCTCATTTTGTCTGTTTGTATTGAAAACTGTTGGCGATTATTCCTTGAGCCCACTGTGCTCCAGTTCTCATCATTAGATTTCTGAGAAGAATTACCACCACGCCTTGGACCACCACCACCTCCACCTCCACCACCTCCTCTATCATCTCTCCTTGGAGGATTCATGTTCATCACTTGAATATTCATTTGCTCATTTTCAGCTTCCTTCTGAATCTGATCCATGGTTTTTGGATTGGCATCGCCTCGTCTGGGTATCCATTTCGAATTACGTAAGTCGATGACGTCTTGCAACATAAATCGAATACGACTGCTGACTTTTTGGCGTTTGCCATCAGTTATGCGTTTCATTTCGTCAAATATAGTAACTAGTTCGACGTTTTTAGATTCTAGTTCTTTGCCGACGGTGGTAAGGAGTTTGCATAAACACTCCAGACTTTCTTCGTCTTTGTTATCGAGTAATGTCTGCAAGCAGCGTCTCATAATACTGGCAGTTAACATCTGTTGCTTGAAAAGTTCACCAATAAACCGGATACAACCTACAGATCTCATTCTGAGACGTCTCTCTGATTCTTCCAATTCGAATAAAAGCTCTTTTTTCTTCTCCTGAAATAAATAAAATATTTACTTACATGTTGAAAAAAACTCGGATTTATAAGTGAATATGTGACTATTTGAAAGTTTTATTGTGGGGAGGTTACTATCAAACCCCATTCATCGGCCTTAGCCTTGTGGTGTTAGCGAATCCACCCCAATATGTTAATTTAGCACATAATTAACACCTGTCAGCTTAGAAATACACTGGCCTGTTGACTTTCATGTGCATAAATAGAAAAATTAAAAAATACATATATTACTTACAGCATCCGTACATGCTTCCATTTCTTGGAATTTGGTATCTCTACCTGATTCGTCTACAGATTGTTTTTCAAATTCAATTTGACACCTTGTTACAAGAAGTGTCCTGAATGCAAGATTTTTCTTCTCGCCCTCCCCGATTGAAACCTGGGAACGATTATTGAAAAATGAAATACCAAACATTATAAATCAAGTATCATCTTACCTGCATACTTTGGATCTCCTTACACATCATGGCATATGCCAAGGAGAAACTGGGCTCATCAATTGCTTTTTCAAACACCAAATCAATGACCCCTTGCAGGCGATCTTTGTTGTCGATTTGTAATTGACGAACTTGATTAACTAGAGTGTCGAATTTCTGGGGAGTGAGTTTGTTCAACACGGACCGAACCTTCTTGTATAGAGATTCGGTTCTCTTGTCGTCTTCAGTCATGGTTTCACCAACAACTACAGAATACAAAATTGTTAATACATTAAAACAAAAACCAGATGTCAAATTTTTGACATAACGCTTCCTAGACAAATAACTACCTAATTAATGATGGTCATATTGTCATTACTTGTCATTTCAAACCATACATTCACCATGCATGTGCAACTCTTATGGCGTAATTTGTTCCACTAAAAGCTTGCGACTACAGACGGCAGAGGCGCTGTCGTCCAATGCTGTTGTCAGATTTATACATAAAAACTCCAGATTATTCTTTATTTGTTTTAAAAAGCTTCCAACAATAGGAAAAAAAAAGTCGTGTACCTCGCTAACATATAATTGTTAGTAGTACGATTTGAAATTACATTTCTTTTTCAAAACCAATATCCCATGCTTTTGACATGTGGCAGCATCGCTTCACTTTTCTGACTTTTACTTATTCATTATATTTTGACAAATTTTGACACATTCCATTTTTATTCAATAATTTGAATCAGAGATTGAAAATTTTCTCCGTTCAAAGCAAAATGGTTTTATCTTGTTGTGTGGAAATGTGTGAAAGCCGAGGGAACAGAGTAAAAATTCATCGAATTCCGAAAAATGATGAACAGGTATGTTTCAATCCCTACATTATACCAAAATCGGGATTTTATCTCCTGTAATTTTACCACTGTAACTTTCTTTCTTTTTAGGTGTTCATTTTATGCCTGCAAAACGTTTACAATCAAAAAATCTTATTCATTGTAGTGTAGGTACCTATCATTGATTAGATTGATATTATACTGTAGTTTATAAAGTAATTCAAAATTGTTATTTTTGTATTTAATACATGGATTAATTAGTATGTAACTCTTCGGTATGTGATCAAGATACTGTTTATCATAATTTTATTTCCACTAGAAACATATTAAATTGTTCAGTGCTAGTGACAATAAAAAATGATAAACGGATCCTAAAGAAAAAAAAAATTAAATTTAAAAAGGAGTGCTTCCCGCGCTCTCAAGTTGCTGACTACACACGCGAGAGGGCGCTGTAATCAGGAACAAAATACAGTGGCTCAATAAACCTTTACATACAGTGGCGACAATAGAGGTCCCGCCGCCATTTTGTTCCCAACCTCTTGTTACTTTTAAATATGAATTTATAGAATTTAAATGGACATCCTTCATAAAAAATTGAAATCGACGTATTTGATGACTATTATTAGGTCCATCAAATACGTTGTTTTCCATGTTTTATGATGGATGTTCACCTAAATCCCATATATTTATATTTGAAATAAGCAATAGGTGGGAACAAGATGGCGGCGTTTTCAATATAAATATATGGGATTTTAGAACCAATCAAAAATAAGACAGCAATTGTCGCCACTGTAGGTAATAGAGTCACTGTAGAACAAAATGTTTGTATTGAGTTGCCTATCTATATTATAGGTTCGAGAGAGTTTTGTATCCCTTATCCATGACATTCACAGATTAACTCGTCCTAGGACGGGTTAATCTGTGCATTTTAATAAATCTTATCTGAAGCATTCAACTCCCCATAAGTTTTAGTCACTTTTCGTTTTCTTTGGTTGGTAACACTAGCATTGCCGAAATACTGAAGGTACCAGCAACGGATTGTTAGCCCGAGGATAATTTTACCTTATTTTAATAAATCTTGACATTTTTTCAGGTTTTAATATCATTTTTCGGGGATAATACCACATAATACCACGAGACCTTCAAAATTACAGTAAATTTTTCATGTTTATGGTCATTTAACTATAAAATAATAAATTCAAAATTATGAGAACACACTAACATGTTAATAGGCTGATTTGTACATACCCTGACTTTCTGTAATCTGTATGAATATCTTCGTAAACTGTAATTCACCATATTATTGTTTGCCCAGCGGATCTGAGTCTACGAAAGGAATTCGGACGTAAATGTGCCATGTTGCCACGTTTAATTATAAAAAAGCGAAAATACTAGAATACTAGAATAGTTAATTTGAAAATCCATTTTTTAATGAGAAAATATTGATAACAATAATAAAATGCTAAATATTTCAACGTGGTTGTTAGATCTATCCTTATTTTAATCCTGATTGCTTCAATTTGTTCTATTGTAAAAAATAAACATTTTCTAAAGATACCATCAGCTTTTGACAATTTGGCAAGCATCCGTCCTGGATGAACCTGATTGAAGTTTTTGGCAGGATCGCCGTTGTCATGGGGAACCATACGGTTGTCAATGAGCTAACGTCACCTTACGTCTTGCCATTGGCCAGGGCTGACGTCATTTTATCCTCCCATCTTGGAATATCGGTTTATATTGAAATATCCAGTGGCGCAGATTTGGTCATTGCTGATTTTCGTGTACGAGTTGCAATACGATAACACTTCCAAAAAGTTCCGCACACAGCTGGGTATTTTATGAATGAAATCAGCCATTTTTTTTCACAACTGCATTACCGTTGCCCCGTAGACACAGACTCGCTGGGCAGACATTAGTTAGGTTAGGAAAAATCTGGCGCGAAATTTAAAATGGGTTCCTAAACACATTTCAACAAATTTGACAGCAATGTATTTCTTATGGGGGATTCAAAAGAGTGATTTTCAGACGGGAATATCTTGGGTTCTGGGCATTTCTTAGTATTTGAACCTATATACGTCAAACTTTGAACATATTTCGCTATAATTCATGCTCTTATTGTTTTTTTAGACCTATGAATTAAAAATACAAATGATTTTAATTGAAAGTGTCTGTTTTCGGTGGACGTACGTCGGGTCTAAAACCAGCTGTCAGAAAGTGAGGTTGTGTGTTGCGTTATGATTGTTGGTGAATTGTTTATTTATTTATTTATTTATTTATCACTAGTTCAGTCATTTGTTTTTCCATTTTTTTGGATTATTGAAGTACATCTACTAACCAAGTATGTAGGTACACTTTTATTTTATTATAATTATTATTGGAACCCATATATTTACTTATGGATCAAGCAACGACATACATATTTTATACAAACATCGGCTTCTTAAATTGGTAATATTTTTATTTTAACAATGTTTATTCAACTTTCAAACACTCTCTCAGTTAATTAACATATTAAAAAAACTATTTATACAACTCACTTTCCTAACAAACGTTCTATCACGTCTACAGGCGCTTTTAAAATTGAATCCCCATAAGACATCAATGTATCAATTTTTGAAGTAGGAACCTGCGCCAATTTGCGATTCTAACCTAACTAATATGGTGAATTGTTTGCTGTGGTTTCGTACCAATTTTATTTCATTAGCAATAATTATTATTATTTTTATTATTCTAAGCGAAAAACCCGAAGGCCCGGTAATTTCACCTCAGTATAAATATAATTTATTCGGCGAATAACTATCTATCGGATAAGTAAACCAGAGGTTGCTATCTGTAGTATATCTCCGAGGGGTATTTTCAGGTAAAATTATCCTCGGGATAACAATCCGTTGCTGGTACCTTCAGTATTTTGGCAATGCTAGTGTTACCAACCAAAGAAAACGAAAAGTGAGTAAAACTTATGGGAAGTTGAATGCTTCAGATAAAGATAGAATATATCTCTTGTCTAGTTGCTTGTTTTTGTCGTGCCATCGCATTCCACTTGTCATTTGACTGATTTGTGGTGGATTTGAGTTTGACATTCATTTGTTTATGTTTTTTTTGGAGAGAGAAGGTGCGTTTATGTTAAATAATTTACCTACGAGCGTGCGGTAAAGTGTACTTTACCGCACGTATTTGCAAATGGAAAGTAGCACTTTACCGCATACTATGCGGTAAAGTTAACTTTACAGCATAGTATGCGGTAAAGTTAACTTTACAGCATAGTATGCGGTAAAGTGGACTACAAAGTGTGCGCATGGTGTGCGATAAGGTAGAATTTGATATTTATAATCAAAAATCCTTTCTTTTTCAGAAAATGGATTTTGAATAATTTCTAAATCTAATCTAATTTCATTAATTAATCTGATTTATTAATTGATTTTATTAATGCCTTTTTTTGGAGATGTTAGATGCTCATAGGTAAAATGTTGTACCTAACACATGCGGAAAGTGCCTTTACCGCCCTTAACGGCTTGACCGGACTCCGCTTCGCGCGTGCGGTAAAGTATCACTTTCCGCATTTGTTAGGTAAATAACTATTTTGTATCGTGTAGTGGGAGTGCTGGCTGATTAATCTTGCATTAGTCGCGCGTGTATCTGAGAGATACATGCCTATTATTTTTGCAAATAAATCAAAAAGGAAAAACCCTATAATATTATGGCTTCTAGTAGTCCTTAGGCACCCTATACTAATTACTTTCCCAAAATTACATGGTCGTACCTCTACCTGGAAATTTGGTATTTCCAAAAAACTTCAGGTGCGCTAGGCTTTGTACCTGACTGATACACTATTCTAACAGAAAATAAAACTTTTAAACTTCAGAGAAATGTGTTGAGTTTTTTCCCTTTGCTATACCATCCCCAGTCATGTTTTGAAGGGTATCATCAGCAAGGGGCTGTCAAGAGCAAATATTGAAATTTGAAATACTAAGTACAAAAATGAAATTGTAAATAACAAAAAAAAAACAGCTATTTAACGAATTTTTCAAACAAATACAAATCTTAGAAAATTAATTCATTAGAATTCTGTGTTATCACCCAAATCAGAGTAAACACACTGCGCGAGGAGCTATTCGGCAAATAAAACCAGTTATTCTTAGGTCTGATCACAGGATACGTTAACTAAAGGTTAGCCCGCATTTATCTGATAGATATCACTATACGGAAGTGAAAATACACTCGTTTTTTTTATCTCTAGGATATTCTCTAATCTGGAGAATAAATATCGTTATCTGCAAGTGAAAGTACCGCGCCTAAGGGTCCTTTTGTAAGGGTAAGTTCACCCAAAGCCTGGTTCTGTCAAACTATAACTACTGTGATTTTCTTTATAGCAACTGCCTTTACAGCAACGATAAATTCAGACTACAAAAAATGCAATATAACTGTTGTAGACTGATTTACGGTCTAAAGAAGTTTGACAGAATTTCCCAGAAAGTGACAGATGCCTCTTGGCTAAATATGGAAAACCGTAGGAAACACCACCTCGCCAACTTTGTCCATTGTGTTCTAACAACGGATAGCTCATCTAAAATTCTAAAAAATAAATTTATTCCTCGGTCCACTCTTCATAATGCAAACATTAGACACAAAAAACAGTATCAGGTCCCTCGTTTCAGAACTTGTGTGTATCAAAGGAGCTGCATTTACAATGCCATTAAATTGTATAATGAGACTCTAGATGAATTAAAACAACTAAATGTACATCAATTTAAGATTAAATACCGGCAGTTTCTGTTTTCTATTCAATCCCATAATAATAGATAAAGAAAAAGATAGATTGGAGTGATAGTGAAATGTTGTGCTGTGGGATGGTCGATGCATGGAAGAGCAAGAAAAAAACAACTAATAAAACAACAAAAAATGGAATTTTTTTAATTGGTGCGGTACCATTTGGGAACACCTGTTTTATTTTACATAAAGTAATGGGCCTACTTTGTGGTTGAGTAAAAATAGCTCCTGGTGCTAGACTTCGCCACGGGGTAGCAACCCGTTCTTTATACCAACCTTACTTAAAATTATGTATTCAACTTATTGTATCTGTATTTTTTTCAATTTTTTAATAAAGTCCTTTTATTATTATTATTATTATTATTATATAGTGGTTTACTGAAAAGGGACCTCAAACCGCGCGTGACGCTGCTTGCTTCATCAAATTTATACTTCTTTTTTTTTATGTCCCAATGAAACCTATTGAGATTTTTGAGATTATATAAAGCAAAATAAGCTCTATCCAATCAATGAAAAAAAAAAGATGGCGTTTCCATTTAAAAAAAAGATCAATGACGTCATATTTTTGAGAGGAATTTTTTTTTCCTATATCTCTGTGTAACTTTTCCCAACACGTTTTCTTATACCTATTTCCAAAATTTCATCAAATTCCATCGAGCCGTTTTCTCAGAAAAATGCCAACACACACACACATACACACACAGACGGAAATATGCCACCTTGCCAAAAAGGCTTAAAATGACCCAAAACGTCAAGATTTAATGAAGTTTTGGCATGGTCAAAATCAGCCTATCACCATAGTCCTATCCTATTGACTTACCCTTGTTGAACCTGGCAGGTTTCCATGCGTTCTCAGACTCGTGGAGCTTGACATCACCACGTAGAGAAATACTAACTTTTGGCTGAGGTTTAGAGTTATTTTTGTCACCAACTCTATTTCCCATTTTACCAGATTGACTAGGGCGCTTGGGAAGAGTCTAAAATAACAATGTTTACATATAAATATTGAAATATTCCATTATGAAACGATAATGAATATTCAATATATGCTGTCAGAGTAAAATATCATCAAATATCTTCAGTTCACTACTTTCATCGATTTTATTTTTTGTATCATCATTCCAATCATTAATCGAACATAGAACAGAGAAACACAAAAATCATCCTTACCCCTCTTTGTGATCCTGATTTTCCTCCAAAATTATTGGCAAAAGGTGGATTCATAAAGTCAGTTCTTCCACCTCCCATTAAAAGTCTAGGATCCATTTGACGAGATCTTTCATCAGGGATTACGCCCTCAGGCAAACTGTTACAGTCTGGCTTTTTTTGGCTAAGCGGCAGGTTTTTTAGAGACAACAAAAAGTCTTTCTCATAGACTTTTAGACCGTCAGGCTTGTCTGGAGCCCACTGCCCTAAAAAAAAAAAATTAAAATTAATATTTTTGTTTTAATTTTAAAAAAATATTAGTTTCTACAAATATATTTTTCAGATTTATTTTGTCTTCAATATGATGTCAGATCACTACTTTCATCGATTATTAATAAAATATCATCACAAACAAATGAAATGGGAACCTCGAAAAGATTTAAAAAATAAACTCACCTGGTTTATATGGAAGCTGAGGTTTATCATCATTTGTACTTTCTTTACTAGAAACCTTATTGTTAACATCATTCTTAGCCAAAACGAGTTTGTCGTTAACACTTGCCCTATCAGTTTCATCTCTATTGTCGTTAATAATCGGGAATGGAGGCATACTTTTGGGCGCACTATCCTTAATAATGCTAGTGACATCAAAGGGTTTAATTACAGGTTTTGTGGCAACCACAGGAGAAACTGTGGCCGTGGCAGTGACTGGAGTAACAACATTGTTTGAGTTAAGTTCAGGTGTGATTGTCGTAGTGACATTTTCGTTGGAGTCTTTTCTTTCAGTCTCAGTTGGAGGAACAACTACTGTTGCCTCGACTGAAGCCACCTGATTGGCATTAGCGGCATCATTAACTGTACCACTGTCATCAGTAGGCAGCACATTGGCATTTATTTCAGTTTTGCCAACAGAATTGTCATTGAAGGCATCCATATCAGTACCTTCTTTGTTGGCACCCTTTATATTAAGCTCTTTGAATTTGTTTGATCGATTATTTGCCTTGGGAGGCTGAGGTGTGGGTACTACGACAGCAGCAGGTTGAATTTGGGGTGCCACTTGTTGAGGATGAGGTGCAACCTGCTGAGGTTGAGTTTGGGATGCCACCTGCTGAGGTTGTGATTGAGGCACAGGTTGTAGTTGCTGTGGTGGCTGCTTTGGCTGATGATGTTGCTGCAACTGTGGCTGTGGCTGGGGATAATGCTGCTGTGGCTGCTGTTGCTGCTTGCCATTTTGATTGTTAACCGGTTTACTCCTATTTTTTAATTTTCCTGAAAAAAAGAAAAAAAAACTTAGGAACAATAACGAATCTATTTTAAAACTACACAATCCTAAAATGTAAAATTTAATATCAAGCTTCAACATTCTATTTCTAACGTCCCCTTTAGTACTACTCAAATGAGGACATATACATCATATAGATATTTCAAATCAATGTCATGTTTTATTAGCCAGCTGTTACATTGTAACTATCTGATGGAATATTGATTGCAATAAGAAAGGAACACATTATGTATTGAAATTTCAATTATTTTGCTATAGTTGTTTTGCTTATTACAATTTAATCTTGTTTTCCAGCATCATTTGGATAAAAATGTGGAGGTTGTTGTTGACCTATGACTCCGATATACATACTTATTTACGAACTGATTTTAATTTTAAATTAGATATTGATTGTTCAGGCAGTTTATTCAATGAATTTTTTAATGATGATACATACTTTTTTTCGAGATGTTACCCTAAGCAACTTATTATCATCAAACATTTTACATTTTTAAATCATAGTAAGTTTCCCAATAAAACTCTGATGATGAGGTATTATTACGTGTGTTAAATTTTTTTAAAATTTTTGCGTCGATTCAATGAATTTATCTTGTGAAATTTGTAACTTGAAAGCAAAATTAAGTAAATACCAACATAATATTAGACAAATATTATTGTGCTTGCGAACAGTAACACAATCAACTAAACTAAACCTAGATAAAATGATTAAATGAATACTTTTGATTTTTTAATTCCAAAAAGATAAATTATCTTGGCAAATGGATCAGACTTGAAATAAAATTTATGTCCGCTTGTAAAACAATGGCGCAGGTCCAAAAATTTGCTAATATTAATAAATGTGTAATGCTAATGCTGAATCATCTTTGAATAATAAATAAAATTGTTATAGTAGATTATTTCACGAGTCAATAATGATAGCTATCATTCCTGAGGAATATTTACGAACTGAGATGCGTTAGCGGCGAAGGAGTAACATTCCGAGGGAATAATAGCCATTATTGCGAGTAGTATACTTTACTTCAATTACGACAAATTAATTTATTTGAGATGTTTAATAGCAAATTTCATCCATGTCATTACAAATCCACAAGCACTGCACGTTTGACACTGACACTGACATTTTTCAGGAATAATGACCACCAATCCCGCTACTCGTCATTATTCCCTGGGGGAATAACACATGTCATAAGACTGCCAAAATCACAAGTATAATGCTTACATTATAGTCTAGGAGGCAGTGACGATTTTCGGCACCTATTTTCCCAGTCAGACAACATGGATAGAATTGTAGGGTTAGTAATTCTAAGCAAAATTCATATATTTTTTGAGAAAGTCTTCCGATGGATTGAGGCGCAAAATGCGTTAAAGCTTACTAATGCACGGCCCTTTTTCTTTCAGTGATAAAAATAGGTCTACTAATGAGGAGTATACTGAAGTTACGTAAAAAAATAGTTTGGCTAATCTATTAGTATGGATGATATTTCTGGCAAGTGAAAAATTGAAGATCGAAAATTTTCAACCAGATTCACTGTCCACTATCTGAGATAGGCCAAATTGCTATTTTCATATACTTTATGTTCTATTGTAGTAAATGTGAAATATTTATGTCTGGGAAAATAAGCGTACTTGTATTTTTCATTGATCTTGTGAACCAATCCGAAAATTTTAGCCACACTCAAAAATTCTTGCTTTGTATCACCAGGAGAACAAACTATTTCATTGACACCAACTGGGAAAATAAGTGCTAAAAAATCTCACTGCCTGCTGGACTATTATACATCAATCGTAAATAAAATTAATAATTTGCTATATTTTGATGAATTTAGATAGCAACCTATATTTGACAATATGATCATGTCATCAGAACAATGAACTATAACCAAAAACTGGAATGCGCACACATTTTGACAAACGTGAAGCCTAGTGCCACTGCTGCGGAGGGGATACCTGTTTTTGTCACACTCATTATGTTAAATGGCGAAAATTGTTCCAACACGTATTCCAATTGATGAAACGTGTGAAGGTAAATATGACAAAACTTTCCAAAACGTCATATGTCAGCGAGCAACAGAAAAAAACAACATTCCCCTCTGTGGCATCTGTCTTTCATGGCTTCATTTTTATTGCAGACATGTCAATGTGTGCGCATTCCAGTTTTTGGCTATAGTTCATTGCATCAGAATGAGTAAAGGTACGGTTTGTTAAGATAGTACGTAACGTACAACTGACAATGTAAACGTCGTCATTGGTTCAGATATGACGTACACCCGTTTTCTGACGTCAGCGTTATGGACCAACTGGTAGGTATCTGGTTGTTACTTAGCAGGTACTTTTTATTCTCTAGTGCATAGAAAGTACCTGCTAGGTAACAACCAGACGTTTACCAGTCAGTCCATAATTTGGCCCTTAATCCTCCAAATAGACAGATAACTTCATGGTAATGTTGCTGTTAAAAGCTGAGAAAAAGAACCATAGAATTCACAGAAGTGAATATAACAATCTTTCGAGCAATCTTTAACAATTATTATAACCTCTTAATACTCATTTTATATGGCTTGTATGCAAAATTTTAACAAGAAGGTATTAATCAATCCAATTGAGTGTTTGGAAGTTGGTTTCAAAAGAGCATAGTTAATTTTTTTCGAGTACCTACTGTCGCCTCACAAGGTACCCAAACAAGCCATGAAAAGCAAGCTTGGGGCATAAGCTGCTATCATTCATCTTCAAGTTTCTTTAGCACTAATCCAAGCATCAAATTTAGCTTAATCAGTGACTCTAAGACTCGGTGCTAGCCAATAATAGAAATTATTATTTTCTTTTTAAATTGGCAATGATATTAACATCACATTAATTAACTAACAGGCAAGCTAATTATATTTTACGTATCAGAATGAAAAAGTTAAAGGTCAGCTAGATAATATTTTAGTACTATAAGATTCGAAATGTCAATTGGTGTGTTAAAAAAAATGCTAAATGTTACACAGAGCATCATGCGACTTTGAGGTGATCTTCTTATCCTTATACATAATTTTTTTTTGAAACAAAGAGACCGAGGGGGTAACATCTGACGGCAATACTGTCACAAATTCTTAACAATCGCTTGCAATCACTTAAACTGCCGTGGCAATCTCAGTCGCAGTCCCGCAATTGCGTTTGCAATCTCACAATCGCTTTAAAACAATCCTGCAATCGCATTCGCAGCCTCGCAATCTGAAAATCACATTGGCAATCGCGTACGCCTCCACCTGTTCTCAGGTACAATCGTGTGCATGCGCAGCCGCGCGTTTATTTGTTTGTAAATAGCGAGAGTCAGCGCAGTCGGCAAAGAGAAAGATTGACAGACAAATTTCTTGCTATTTTATGCTATTTATTTGCGATTAAACTGTTATTAAACTGTGGTGGCATTATTACTATAAAGGCTGATTTACACATATCCAGTAGCTGGCGCTAGTCTCACTGGCTGCATGGCATGCCAATTTTTGGCTGGTAAAGCGCTGGACCCAGGTCGTCTACATGAGTCCAGTTAATCGTGAGTTTTCACTGCGGTAAGTGTTCCCACGATGCCAGAACTGGAACGACATGCAGTGAGACTGGCGCCAGCTACTGGATACGAGCGAATCGGCGTTAAAGGTAAAAGCCTGCGCCTAAATTACTTCTTATAGAAAATATTAATTGACCGTTGACCGCATTTGTAAGTTTAGAATTTCGATTTAGCGGGACTTCTTCATTCAAATCAAATTCAAGTCCATTTCATTCATCTGGAAGTCGCACTTTGGAATACCCTAAAGAATATTTTGAGTACAAATGACCTGAGCCAGAAGATGTTATGTCAAGCCAAAATGAATTATTTAGTGAAGATACCATTGAAGAGCTAAATGCTATGTTACAGTGTTGCCAAAGCTACCCCGTTCGGGGTAGATCTACCCCTTTTGAAAACAATCTCGCCCTTCCGCTCCTCTCAACTAAATCTACCCCGCTCTCCGCTCTATAAATACAATCTTGCTATAACACAAAAAGAATGCTTTTGCTTATCGCTAATTAAAAATACTTACAAAATCCAAATTATGAGACGCAATTTATATTTATTTGAACTGTATTCATCGAGTTTTTTGTCTACGCTTTGTCGCCTATGATATAAACTCATTTAGGGATTTCTTTCAGTGCCTTCTTTGAATTTGTATGATTATTGATATATTGTAGTTATTTACCTAACAAATGCGGAAAGCAGCAAAGCTTAGTCTACTTTACCGCACACTATGCACTGAAGTAACAATAGGTCTGTTTCTGCAGAAATCACAAACCAGTCATAGCGAATTTCAGTGGTTGAAAACAATCAGAAAACTAGTTTCAACCAATGAAATTCACTCTGACTGGTTTGTGATTTCTGCAGAAACTTATCTTATACCGCATACTGCAGTTTACTTTACCGCAGACTATGCGGTAAAGTAACTTTACCGCACGCTCGTAGGTGAAATTTTTGTTGCTACCCCGCAACGAATGTATTCTACCCCGCTATCTTGCCGTAATCTACCCCAATAAAAAAGGAGCTTGTGGCAACACTGGCTATGTAGGAATAATTGAATTCACTTTCAAACTACGATTTACTAGATATTGAGGACTACACTGATCACAATAATTCAAAAACATTAGACCCTAGCCTTCTAAAAATAAAAGTTTAGGACAAAAATTTGTTGGTGAAAAAATAAACACTGTGCTGGCTATTTTCTAATAAAAACGGAAAGTTATCAACCGAGTTATCATCAACAAATAGAAATCTCAGATGCATAAGTATGCAAAGTTGTCAAAAAAATAAATAAAGTAACAGAATAGTAGAAATAGAGCCTATCAAAAGAGCAAAAATAAGAAACTGCAATCAAAAAGGGCTCCAAACATGGAAGATGCCAAAACCTCTGAAAGTGGGAGCTATTCAGAAAAAAAATGAATTGGGAAATGAAATCAGAAGAAAATACATTTTGCGAAGAAGTGT